TCGAGAACATCAAGTCCGTCTGAGTGTCGATGGTCAGTTGCGTGAGTGGGCCATTGAGTAGCACCGTAGCTGGATTATGTTGGACTTCCTTGAAGTAGGTTCTTGCAGATCTCTCCTGGAGGGAGGCAACCGTGCTCCTGATCAGCTTGTATTGTGGGTGCAGAGGGTCATTTTCACACTTAGAGCGGTGTTTTACGAGGATTTTGCCGAGAAGGTTGGCACGAGAGTGGATAGTGAGCTGTGAGCTGGTGGGGACAATCTGTGTGATGTGGAAAAGCCCACCTAGAAGGGCCGAGTTGACGGAGGGCGTCAGAATTGTTTCAATGTCCGTGAGATGTAGCTCGAACATGTCCGACAGTTTCTCATCGGCGCCATCGCGTATCACGACAGCCACAACCATCTTGGGGTTTCTCCCGTCTTGATCGCGGACCCTGGCGTCGAGGAAAGCTTCGAAAGCGCTCGGAATTACATCCCTTGGTATCACGCGGCGGGCCGGTCTTTGGGTCATGTGGGCATCAGTGGCGAAAACTCGGAACCCATTTGACAGTTCCGTTAGTCTATAATTCGAATCAAAGATCAGGCCTTGCTTCTTGCATCCGTCACCATCTCTCGAGCGGTTGCTCACTATTTCACCATCGGTCAGGGCCAGTGTCTCACACAAGTCGTTACTTGCGACCAACGGATTCCACTTGGGGTGAAGGCAGGCAATGATTGCCTTTGCAGCTTCAACACACTCACCTGAGTCTTCGCAGCCGTACTCTGTTCGTTCCCTCTTGCACGGAGGGCAGCCACAGTTCTTCCGGCTCATTCCCGACGGATTGATCATGTGGGGGTGTCTGGGGATGGTTGTCCTCCGTTGAGCAATCTGGAGGATGTCTCGTACCGAGTGGGTTTTGTGCTTTTGCCTCAGGCATTTCACAGCTTTTCTGTGACTGATTTTCCCAAACTCCTTCTCGTTCAGCCCGATGTGTGACCATATTGGCATTTCAAGCTGTATCTCCTTGGATATGGAGAGGGCCGTGAACTGTAAGTCATATTTCTTGGCTGTCTTTACCATGCGCTTGAGATCGTCGGCCAACGGGCTTGTCCTCCAGTTCGGGATATGGATGTTTTGTAAGAACACCTTCGATAGGAGCCCTTGCTTTCTCTCTGGTTGGCCGATGTTCCATCTGTGAGCTATTGTGCTCTCAGCGAGGTACGCCCAATTTGCTCGTTCGGCATCGTCTCGTAAGAATTCCTTGGCGTTCCACAGGTCAATTGCTTCGTTCCTGGATTCAATGTCTAGGATTTGCTTGCCTCCCTCCAGCAGTGGTCGACTCATAGTCTGGTGGGCAATGCGGGCTTTCTTCCCTTCCCATAGGAAGTAGTCTCGTGTCCTGATCAGAGATGCCTCTATTTCTCTGGGCATACCTTGTACACGAGTAAGGAATTGGGTCTTTCCTCCGATCACCATGTTAATGACATGTCTGCGTCCCTCCAGGGATATTTTGCGGGCATTCCATTTGGTGAGTGCCCTTGAAATCTCTTCCAGGATTCTGGGCCATGGTGTTGTGTAGTTGATATTGTTTCCAATCCAGGCTCCAAGGATACGGCATGATTGTCCGTCTGCAACCACGGTGAGCTCATCCTTGAAAGTGCCGGACTCTTCATTGAAAGACCGTGTCACAGCAATTTTTTCTCTGTACGCTCGTGATCCGAATGGCAAGACAACTGTTTTTTGTTTGTTGAATTTTGCTGTTGACGCCGAGCACCAAAGGTCCAAAATCTCCCAGAGCTTTGTCCATGAATCTGTGCTCGACAGGTAGATTGTTGTGTCGTCGGCGAATAGGGAGAGAAGCAGCTTTCTTTCAGTTCCGGGGATATTGACACCTTTCAGATCTGATTTGCGTAACAGGCAAGCCAGGGGTTCAATTGCAAGATTGAACAGGAGGCAAGACAGTGGGTCACCTTGGCGAACACCTCTTGTAACAGTGAACGGCTCACTCAGCTCTCCATTTATCATAACTTTGGTTTTAGCATCTGTGTACATGTTCTTGATTAGCATTCGGAACTCTTCAGGGAATCGCATCTTCTCAAGCACCTTGGTGAGGTATTCATGGTCAACTCTGTCATATGCCTTTTCTTGATCTAACGCCAGGATGATTCCATTCTCCTCTGTCGCTTCAGCGTAGTCCAGCATGTGTTTCATTTGCTTGATTTGGTCTTCGATTTTACGTCCTTTGATGAATCCGGCTTGATCTTGGTGGATGAGATTCGGGGCCATTTCTGCCAACCTGAGTGAGTGAGCTTTTGTCAGAAGCTTGTAATCCACGTTGAGTAGTGTGATAGGTCTATAGTTGGCTATCTTCGCGCGGTCGCCTTTCTTGTATATTGGGCACATCCATCCAGTGTTGAATTGTGTTCCTGGAGCGATCCCGTGCTTCCGTATGTCCTTGAACACAGCGTCAAGAATGTCGAGGACATCCCAGGTATCTTTATCTTTCTCGACAGCCCGTTTATTTTCAATCACGAGCCACTTATAGAATTCATAGGGGAGCCCGTCAATTCCGGGCGCTGATCCGTTCTTTGATGCCTTTAGGGCCATCTCAATCTCTTCTCTATCCAAGGACTTGTTCATCTCATCATGTTGATCTTGCGAGAGGTGAGTGTCGTACTCTTCCAGCACCCTCCATGTTGACAGTGTTTTGTGGTATGAATCAGGCATGTCCTTCGCCTGGATTCCGTCATGATAGCGTCGGCCGAGCTCGGCCATGGCTTTGGGCCTCATTTCGTATATTGGTACGCCCTCTCCGGTGGTGGGGATCTCAAATTCTTGAATACTCTCTTTCAGGTGGTAGCCTGCTGCTGAGTGTGTCCAGTGGCGACTCTGTAGAGTTTCGCCTTCCACGTCGTATTTAACCTTGATTATATCCTTTTTCTTCCGAGCGCGTTCAGTTAGCGTCTGATTGATTTTATTCTCCAACATGTATGCAGCAAGGCAGCGATCCTCGTGGGACATATCTTGGTCATGGATTATTAGGTGCAGTTGTGCTTTCCAGGTGCGGATTTTCCTGATCTCCTCGTCCTCGACTAGTATCGAGCATGTTTTTGAATGTTCCGTGGAACTCCCTTTGAACTTATGCCATAGTAACTGGATGTTGTCTTCATCTGTCCGGGTGGCCTCTGCCAGTCTATTCTTTTCTGCGGCGAGTGCCTTCCCAAGACGATGTATCTCCTTGGTGAATTTCTGGGTCTTGAGCAGGTACAGTGGCAGGCTAGGTGGCCCTTTTCCTGGCCTCAACTCCTGGCGCATTACTAGTTGAGTTGTAACGAGTCTGTGGTCTGTTTTGATTGCAGTGTTTTCTATTCTCCATCCTCGGCACATCGGGAAGTTCTGGTGTTGTACATAGATTCTGTCAATTCTGGATCGCGACACATGGACTGTATTGGTGGCCGGATTGAGTCTATGCTGTACGCAGGTGTATTGCTTTTGGTCAGGGAATGTATTTCGCCATCCATCCTCCATTCGGAACAAGGATTTGAGTTTGGTGAAACTTTCCGGAACGGAGTCGCTGGCCCCAGAGAGTCTGTCTTGAGCATCTTCAACAAAGTTCCAGTCCCCCAGGATAACATCGGGTAGGGGAAGGTGGTCGTCATGACACCATTTATTCCACAGTTCAGTCCACATCATATTTCGTTCCTGTGGATCATTTGGGGCGTAAATGTTGAGAACGGTTACAGATCGTCCTTTGTGCCATGGTACCGTGACCATCAAGGCTCGTCCTGGGATCAGTTCAAATGTTCGGGTATGTTCGACATCCAGGCATTTTTTGTTCAGGAGTATGGCGACTCCGGCGGTGGTGGATGGGGCTGTTGGATGCGCTGAGTATACTATTGAAAACCAGTTGCTGTAGAACTGACGGAATTCAGCGCAACTTTCGTCGTCTAGATGAGTTTCTTGCATTGCAAGCAAGCTGATGCGTTCATTATCCACCAACTGTTTGAGAAATCTGAATTTGTGGTATGTGCGGTTCATTGGAGTGTTAGAGTCACGACCCGCAATGTTAAGGATGCTACATTCAATGTGCTTCGGGTTGACTTGGCCGTCGGCGGCAGGGGATGCACTGCGCGCCTTCCCCTTATTTCCGCGTTCGCCAATTCCCATCCTGGATTGCACTCAGTTGTGTTACTTGTATCTGTTCCGGTGCCATCATCCTCAGGATGGGGAGGAGACTGTTCTGGGTCAGACTGCATGGCAGTTGAATCGGCAGGGTCAAGTTCCATCGTTTCGACTGCCACTTCGTCCGTGATCCAGTCGAGCTTCCGTTTTTTGCCGTTCCCAACATGATGGTTGGGTTCCGAAATTTCAACCTCCATAGCCGCTGCGACTGCTGCAGGCGAATTTTCGGAGGCTAACATATTGAGAACGGCCATGTGTTGCCGCTCTTCGCGAGACGCTGCAGTAACCAGAGCAGCAGAATTGCTGCAGGGGGGGTCGCGCTCCTGATAGTCGGGGCTAGGCCCCCGGTCGCCCCAACTCCCGCTGGTTTCACTATCTGAACTCGTAGCCGGCGGGCACATACGAGAGGGATGCACCTGGTCCCCGAAACCCTCCCGTGAGCCAGGAGGGTCTGTGGTGCTCAAATTGGTAATCTTAGGTTGTGTTGTCATATTGGTTGCATTTTACAGACTGCCGTCCTGTGGAGTGCATCGTTTTGATGACTGATTGATGCGATCAGTGATCTCCTGGGTTGTTCGACTGAGTTCAACGAGCGAGATCGAAAACATGTGAATAAATAGATAAGTTTCATTTTACGTAGTAGGTAATACATGTCGCAGGCTCCTCGATCAGCTGCGTGGTTCAAGTTCGTTGATGCTTCAGAACACACGGCAAAGACGGATGCAATCAGCGGCGTCTCAAAATTGATTGTGTCCTACACAGCGTCAGCCGGGGGTTATGTTTGCGATGAAGTTCCCCAGCCAGTGGGACAGAAAAGAAACCGGCGGCAAGCAAAAACTGATGGCCATCGTGGGGGTCGAACCCAAGACCTTCGCGTCACAAGCACTCCCAGGAGCTGTGAATATTAGCACGACGCTCTAACCAACTGAGCTAGACGGCCGGATGATACCCGGGCGATGCGGGTAATCACGTAATATATCAATGTCGGATGGCACACAAAACACATCCTGAGCACCCATCTAGCTGGTTAAGCTCCCCCGACCTCGCCAAGATGAGTGAGCCAAGAGAGAGCGGTCTTCGGATCTCACTAGAAAGTGATGACATCAAAGGTCCGGTGGGAATCATAGCTCACTGATCCAACACAGCCTCGTTTTTGTCTCCGCCCACGCGGCTTCCGTCTGGCCACCATCTCATGACTTCCTCCCACAACGCAGCTGGAGGCCCAAAGTGCGCCTATACCAGCCTTGCATCGCGCTCATCCATGACATCCGTGACACCCGCAGATACATCCAGGACTTTAGCAAGGCACTCGCTGGCGAGGTCAAGATATTGCTCGCCGAGGTCGGAAAGCTGCGCGATGAGAAGCGTGCGCTGCAGTTGTGCGTCTGCCTCATTCATCCATCCACTGGGCCACAGCTGACGAGTCATGCCGCTACCCGACAGCGAGATCGCAGAGCTGATGAGCATCAAGGCCAAGCACAGCGCAGAGGGTGTCTATGCACCTGGATGGCACCCACCCGTGCGTATCTCATCCTCGTCTTCATTCTGAGATTGGCATTGAAGCATCGTCGCAGCCTGCGATTGAAGCTCCGCCTCCTCCAGCCGAGCCTGCGCCACCGGCAGCTCCGGCACCAGGTGGCTGGCGCACAGTATACGTTCCACCGCCCCACGTCCCACGCGCGGCTCGCAAGGCACTCAAGGCACCGCATCCAGCTCCAGCTCCAGCTCCCCTTCCTCCTCCAGCGCCAAATATGCCTGCATGGGCACAGTGGCGACGTGCGTCTCCCATTTCTTTGTTTTAGCGGCTGGTTCTGACAACTCGCAACGTCTAGCCAACCCACACCTCGCACCCACTGGGCCCAGTGCTCCTCCTGCCCCGGCGCCCCCGCCGCGTTCCGGACTGTTCGGTGTGTATCGCACATCTGCCTTCTTCGCAGCGTGACGAGCCTTGCTTCCTTTCTCACAGGTCCCAAGACGCCCCCACCCAAGTAAGGGTCCTCTGTTTGTATCCTTGTATCACAAGCTTTCTCTCTTGTCTGTCATTCGGAACCGTCTATGCATGTTACTGCTCGCCATGACGTACTTGTTCTCGCTTCGCTCTTGAATCTTCACTCGCCTGAGTCTCCTTTGGTCTCAATGCGCCGCGCGGTAATTACCCTCGTTGGATTCTTCCCCGAGGTCCACAAGGCAAGGGATGCTTCAAAAGCCCGTCCTACTCCGTGCCATTCTAGCCAGCGTCAAGATGGTCTTGAAACTCTATGGCTTCTCTCACACCAATGGCGCTAAGTTGGTCATTGCGATGACCCTGGTGGAGTATCCTCTTCCTCGACGTCGCGGGATTCACAAACACCGTCATCCAACGGCGTTTCCCTCCTATTATCCGTTCTTTAACGATATGGTTCTCGATTCTTTGGTCTTTTGTTTGTCCAATCCCCATTTGTACTTGCTCCTTCCTCTCATCTCTCTTGCCGTACTGTGCCTCCTCGTCCAGGTATTAATTAACCTCTACAGCATTTTGGCACTTCTACAGCTTTTCTGACAGACCGCTAGTCTCTCTTACAGACCTTCGCGCTCCGTAACCTCCGCTAAGAAACAGACCGCAGCTGAGCACGGATGACTCCACGGACCTCGACAGCTTGGCCGAAAGATGACGCGTCGCCGGCATGGGCAGATATAGACTCGGGGCCCTGTTGAGCCACCGTCCTCCCTCCACTCCTCCCTCCTGCTGCCTACAAATTTTCTTCAGCCCCTACATTTCCTCTTCGGCCAGGGATGCTCAAAACTCATCAAATGAATCGTCTGGGATGCTCTTCAAGTGTTATCTCGGGGGTCCTCAAGCGCGTTTCTCCGCCCCTCGAAATTTCTGCCGTTGAACACCAAGCTCCGACATTGCCTACCCCAACTTCGTATTTCTCACCGAGCCCCATCCGTCATCCCTCTGGATTGAATCCCTTCCCAATACACATCATCGGTCTGCTGAATTCTCCCACTCACCTCCAACTTCAACGAGTCCTCGCTGTCAGTGACCACCTCCGTTTTCCAATGCTGCGGCGTCTAGACTCCCAGTAGGCTCGCACTTCCCGTCGGACCCCGTCCGTCTTCCGCGTCCCTCGCCCTCTAACTCTGGAATGATGCGCACGCCCTCTTTCTCTGGTCGATTCTGTGGCGTTCTCAGGCCGTTGGAAAGCTTTGGCAGTGCGACGTACGCCAACCTTTTCGGAGGCCCCATCCCACTTCGTGTGAGAAATTATATCCTGTCTCGACTCTTCCTCCCATGTGTATGACGCATGTCCAGGCTTGCCGAGCAGAAAGTTGGGAGTCGGGAAACAATGCGTCGGGATCGTGGAAAACAGAAAATTTTGAGCATCTGCAGGCATGGGTGAGGTCACGATGTTTGGACGGCGAGCCTGGTTCGAAGGTCGTCCAGTTGGGACTCGGGCGATGTCCGCTTGCCGGCCCTCTTGAATGGTCGAGTACTTGGTGCATATTTGGAATTGATTTTGTCGGAATCATGGACTTGCCGCCTCGCAGAACAGCTTCCGGAGCGAAGCAAAGGAAATCCTTGTCGGTGTCTGTCTTGTGCTTTCATTCGATATAATTGACCATTTCTTTGTCCTTGTTTTGCTCCCCTTCGTCGACTCAATATTCTTTACATCGCCTCTTTCTCGTGACACTGGCAGCATCCACCACGGTCCTCAGGACTTCCGAGATCTGGCGTGGCTGATTGATAATCTCGCCCCTTGACAACTTTGCGATCTGGATATCCGCGCAATAAAGCACCGACGCACCGTCGCTTTGTAGGGGACTTTTCTTGACTATTTGGGCCAGGGGAATGGGGTCAACGCGAGCGGCGAGGCTACTAGGTATGCACATGCAACACTCATCCCACATCGATATCCTGCGCACCTTCGGAGTGCCTGGGTATCCACGGTCGGGATGTATATTGGGCTATCAGTGCGGGGGATCTATCTGCTCGTGGCATGGGACTCTTGATGGTATCTCTCCATAAGTTGGCGCTACTGGGGACACTGAGACTTCCCTCCCAGACCCTCCACGACGCTATGTGGACTAAATCCTTACTCTACGCAATCCTTGCACTGTCAAATCTCCTTGCTTGCTCAGCAGCCCGACACGTCGCGCTCAGACGGGGGAAACGTGGGGGAGCTGGGACTAAATTCGCCCGGTCACGGTGGCGAAGGCTGTATCAGCGTCGAGGCACCATTGCCACCTCAAACCTGACTTTATTTGTGAGTTTCATCGGCGCTTCACTGAGCCGCACCTTTGCTTACCGCAGTATCGATACAGGCGGTGGCCGACACTTCCGGTCAGGGGGAATTCTATTACACAGATATCACCATCGGCACTCCGTAGGTTCACGGTCCAGAGCCGTCAGCCGTGGTGTTCAAATCTTTATGAAATCTAGCCCTCAGCATTTCGTCTTTGAAATTGACACCACCTCCGCCGATATTTCGGTGCAGGGCACAAATTGTCAACCCGGACTTTGCCCATCGTCCGGTTTATACAACGCGTCCGCCTCGTCCACTGCAATCAACACATCCACGGTCCCGTTCAGCAGTAATCCAGATGACAAGGCGTACTTTTTTACAGATACGATCGACTTGGGCCCCTTCTCCGTGGCAAACACTCAATTTCGTACGTTTTTGGCGCACATTTTGCAGCGTCCTGATGAACTGAATACCACGCCCCCTTCAGTTGTCGTTATTTCGTCGGATGGGAGCTCGTCCGAGCCAGATGACTCAGATCCAGCGTCCGGCTTCGTGGGACTTGGATTTCCTGCCGCCGAACTTGGATTCAACACACGAACTGCATTTTGGGAATCAATAATGGAGACCGGGCAGACCGAAGAACCCATATTCAGCCTTTGGCTCGCGCCCGATGACGCTGTGATTACTACTGGAGAACTTCCTGGCGGCTCGCTGACATTCGGCGGCGTCGACCAGTCGCTGTTTTCCGGGGATATTGAGTACCATGCACTATCGAACGGGGACACGTCGATCGACGGGGCCAATCAATGGAACGTAGATATTCAAGGCGAGTCGGTGATATACGGATATGTTCCAGGAGTGACGTCCTCCAGAAATTGCGATTCAAGGGCAAACTTTCGTGATTCCACAAAATTCGTCGGCAGCTGTAGTGATCATCAGAGAAAATCAGCTGGGTGGTCCTGGCTCTCAGATTACCAAGATATGGGACGCGATTCCTGGGGCAAAGATTAATGAAACCAGTGGCATGTTCACTTTCCGTGAGTGTCACCGTATGGAATTCTTCGCGCGCATCTCATTTCCAGCGTGTAACTCATCTTTAAATATGAGCATTTCTTTCGGAGGCCGCCACTGGCCGATCAATGACGCCAATCTCAATTTAGGGCCTACAGACATCGACGCCACGATTTGCCTGAGCAACATTTTCTCAGGAGATGGTGTTGGGTGGACATTGGGATTGCCCTTCCTGGTGGGTCCTGGATCATGCACTCCCGATCTGGTCTCAAGTGCTCCTTGTCTGTGCTGTCTAGAAAAATGTGTATACAGTGTTTCGGCAGAATCCTCTGGGAGTTGGATTTGCAGAACTTTCGACGCTTGCCGGTGGCCAAGGTTTGGGTGATCTTATTCCCAAATCTGCTGCTGACCTGGGTTTCAGGCGTTCCGAACTCTACCAGCAGCACTGGCCCCGGTACTTCGTCATCCAAGAAACCGAACGCCCGTCTCATTGCTGGAGTCGTTGTCGGGGCCACCGCGGTGATGGCAGTTGTTGTCTTTGCAGCGCTTCGCTGCAGATCCAGAAAGAAGGGGGCCATTTCACAGGCAGGGGATACTCCGCTTCTTCCGTCAACGGTGGAGGTGGCCTCCGAACTTGTTCCGGTCCCGTTCATGTTGGATCAAGCCGGACAACAGGGCGAACATCGTCCGGGGCAAAAGATGC